GCCGCGATCACGCGACTTTATGACGGTGAACGAAAGTTTCAGAACGCCCAAGATGTCGAGTCTTAATGGAGAACGCTTCGCGTCTCTGGTTCTCTTGTTCTAAGGGTCGGTTGTTCCATCTTTTGGTAAATTTTACCTGTGAGATAAATCTGGCAATCCGCGCATGTGATTGGGTACACTGAAAAAAAATATAGTCAATTTTAATAAATATTTAGTTGAATATATATACTGCCAACTAAATATGTATTAAATATAAAGATATATTTATTTGATATAAGAAATATTAATTTGATTTAACAATCTTTTTTTTACTGAACAAATATTTATTTACTGTAAGTAAATGTTTAGTTGGCAGTATTGAACTAAATATTTATTAAAATTGATTATATTTCTTTTTCAGTGTAATCTTGCTACTTACCCAACAGGTAAAATTTACCAAAAGATGGAACAACCGGTCCTTAAATCTGGATTCATCTCTCTTGTCTGAAATACTTAATTTTCACATAACTGCAGCTTAAGATGCGAAATTTAGAAAAGAAGTTTTTACAAGTACAAATAAATTAAAAAGTAAAATTGTAAATTTTAAAAAGCTGCCTTACAAATGCACAATTATTACATATAATTTATAAATAATAAAATTGTGAGAAGAAGAAGCCAACGCTGATAATGTGGTTTTCTTTCTTTCTCTCTCCAAACATATTTAAAAGTTAATTAAAATATCTCTGGAATATTTCAACATTAGAGGAATATTAACATATGGGAATATAGTATACTCATAGCGCGCAGACACGAAAGGCACGACAGGCTCGACTAGATAGATCGAAAACAGTATTCGTGCCAGTCGCGGCTCTTCGCGGTGATATATGATCACAATATACTGAATTTTTATTTCGCAATCTATTGAACTATTATTTCGCGGGATGCGCCATCGTTCCTATCATCGATGCCGATGCCGTCCTCGGAGTGTCGCAAGAACGAGACGAGCAATGGATTGGGAATTAGACAGGAGTCGTGAGTCACGACTCCGGGATCGTCTCCATTTGGCATTAAATCGCTGGTAAAAAGACGCAACCGTATGCAATTACTCGCGTTCGCGTGCGGTACATAGCATTTTGCAAATTGCAGACGCAGCCGGATTGGCGCACCGTCACCAACGTCACGGATCTATGACTCATTACCTGTCGCGAACAAATAGATTAGAATGTACATTCGATAGCGTTTAAGCAAACATAACGGTCGTGTTTTTAGGCTCCAGCAGACAAAAGCGGACCGTAAGTCACACGCGCGTAAATCGCCTATATTGAAGATCTTCAAGTAAAAGATTGGACATCATACACCTGGTCTGCCATATTTTTCAGGACCTGCTTAAGATAAAACGAGATAGATTATGCATAAGATAGAATGAGATAACTTTGTATCTCATTTTATCTTTAGCAAGTTTGAAAAAATATAGCGGACCAATCAGAAGTTGTCTAAACGGCGTCCAATTTCTTATTTGAGAATCTCTAGCTTATATATTTAATCTTCTTCGCCATTTTCTTTCCCATTAAAACCTAGTCGGAAAATGCTATGCCAGATTTTGCGCGGCGTGCCGATCTGACATGTTCTGAACTTGTAACGTAGTTCTAAATAAATAATGAAGTGTACTTCCAAACATATCCAACAGCTCGCACCGCTGCTCGCGGCCTCGACTTGTCTATCGGCCGTTTCAGAGCCGCTTCCATGCACCACGAGCAGCTCGGTCGCGAAGGAAGCGACGTCCGAGCGGCCGCAAAAATCGTTCGGTCCAAGTGTGACTCATCACACTCGAGAGATTTCAACGCGCGTGTTTCCGTGAGCACCGGTATTTCTGGCTGGCGGCGTATTTGTGTTATACGGCGTTATATCAAAGCACAAAAACCACAATTGGAGCGGTGTTATTTGATGAACGGGATGTTGGAGATGCCATGATTCATATCGTGTCCAAGTCATAAGGTGTAGTCTTCTTAGATGCGCAGGAATATGCGTGTATTCTCATGATAAACCAATTAGATCGAATCCAGCTGAATCCGCAACAGCTTAGTTTCGTAAAGAGGAACAAAATTGAAGACTTGTTTTAGTCTCTAATTTTTTTGTTTTATATAAGAAATAAAAATATTTTATTTATTATTTCCATAAACACTAGCTAGCAATAAAATTACATCAATATTATAATTTCCTAGTCAACAATATAAATGTAATATAACATATGTTGTACGTAATAGAAGTAGGAGTATAGTTAGAAATAAAAAAGAGTAGAAATTATAATGTTGATATAATGTTATTAAAACATTAAAATCATACATTACATCATACATTAAATATTAATCCATTATTAATTTTATTAGAAAATTATAATATTGATAAATGTTACATCAATGTTATAATTTCCTATTAATGCTAGTTAACGTTTAATTATTACGTTTTCAAAACTTTCCTCTCTCTATCTTTATTAACACCAATTCTGCAATTTCCGCAACGAAATTTGTATTCTTCCGACATAAGATATTTTCTGCAGATATCAATTAAAAGAATTGCAAATAAGTATTTTAAAATTAAACATGTTGTATAATTTGGTTGAATGATATAAGATATTTTTTTATATAATTTATTACATCGCAAATTATTTAAAATCGATTCTAAAAAAATATCTTGTATTATGCAATCAAATTACACAATATGTTTAATTTTAAAATACTTATTTGCAATTTTTAAAATTGATATCTGCAAAAAATATCTTACGTCGGAAAAATACAAATTTTGTTGTATATTATATAATTTCATTAGATTAGATATTATATATTATATAATTTCAAGAGAATATAAAATTGATGTAACATTTTTTCTTAGAATTTACCCTGAAAATATGACAGTTATTGGACAATATTGTATTTCGAAGAATTTTAATGTAAATCTCTCTCATTCATTAATAAAACTATAATAAAGTATATAATAAGTTTGATTAATTTTACTGAAGTGCATGGTAAAAATCTTTAAAACATTGTATTGTACCATAACTACCATATTTTCAGGATAAATTTTAAAAGAAAATTCTCTTCGTGTATCTAATAAAAATGTATTAGGCCGATCATTGTTAATTATCAGAACGTTCTGCTAAAATAAATACCTAAATATATTCATATACTCGGCAAACTTTCTTTCCGGCAATTTCTTGTCCTGTTCTCCGTAACGTCGAGCAATGTCTATTGTTCGTTGGCCTTCCGCAGACTTTGGGGATCGGTGAACTGTAGACCTGCGGGCATGCTGGCGATCGGTCGATGAGTAACCATGGGAGACCAAGGCCATGTCTTCCAACTCGATAAACCTTACCGACATCAACCTCTTTTGTATACGCGAAAGCATAATGTTTTCTAGGCACGTATGTTTTACATACTTCGTATGAACATAATGACGTTTGACAACCGAAAATAGTTTGACGATTTACCCGTCCTTGCTAGGTGATAAACATTCAAAACTGATAAAATATGTATATTCAAAACGAAAGCATAATTTTAATGCTATCAATATGGATCTGTAACTTCATTTTGATGAAAATATTTAATATCTAATATCGATTTGAATTCGAGCAGTAATTAAATCATGATATGCTTGTTATTTCAATGATATTTTATTATCAGAGTTAGATTGCATTTATGTAATTATGCTTCATCTTATTTTATCGTTATTGATCTTCGTTTCAGACAATTACTTAATCTTGATAACACGATGTGTGCTGATCCAGTTTATGGTTACGGTGTTGCGAACATATTCAAGAATACAATGTTGAGAAACAATGTTAGAAGAAAAGTATCAGAACTTACTTGAAAAATGAATCATCGATAAAGCAAGAAGTACATAAAATATTATCCCCGTACTTGTGTGAAATTATATTACATTTCGTAATACGATTGCGAGAACGTCGCAAGTTTTAGTATTGCGGTTAATTAACAGGAATGCCTCATTGCAACAGTAAATGAAGTTAATTAATGCTAACGCTTCATTTAGAATCTACCTGTGTTTTTTCGGTTGTTACGTCTCATTACTAGCCGCGGTGAGCGTTATCCAGCATCAGGTTGAGAAACTCCATGTGGGAACAAAGCGATTCACGTGTGTGGCCATTGCTTGCCGTGTGTACCCGCAATGAAACCAGTTCTCGCATCGCGTTTTTTTGTTATGCACAAATGCATCGTGTTCGCACCTTTGTCGGCGGAGATTTTTCCAGATGATCTTACGTGCCGAAGTACAAATATTTCAATCTTTCTTCTCTCTTTCTTTCTCAATTCCGATCCCATACTATCTTTTTCTCTATTTAGTTTCACTTTATTCCGCGATAATTCGATAATTGGAAAAAGAAATGTTCGCGCCATGTACCTTTTTTCTTTTTAATCTTGGAAAGCGTTTGGTCTTTAAAGAAAAGTGAGGTAGTTGGTTAACTGCGGTCAAATTGTGCGTCTAATTATACGTTAATAAATTTGCCAGCTCTCCTTTCACCGAGTTCGCAAACTTTATCTATCTACACCATCTTGATCTCGTTGTGCGTAAGTATGGATGTCGAGAAATGTTATGTATGCATGTGCACTGGCTCACACCGCGAGTTTCTTTTTTCTCTTAGTTCTTCGAATGACGTTTGAATGTAAGACGTCAATTTCGTGAAAGGAATAACCAGTGGGTCTTTGTGCCCGAATCCTTTTAAATGCTAAAAATACCTTTTTGGAGCAGAGGTTGCAAAAACTTGCGTTGTTCCAGTCGACACGAAGTCAATAAGACCGGAGCGCAATGCATAAAGCATAAGAAAATCAACTACTCAGACTCTTTTATTTCATGGAAAGGAAGGAAATAAAGGACTTTAATTGATTAATTTTTTTATGCATCATGCATTATGTGTTATGCAACACTCTGTACTTTCACCTTTACTAAAAAAAAAAAAAGAAAAGAATTTATTATAATTGAAAATGAATACAAAACGTTTTTTTTATGCGTAGAGTTTGGAGCAGGAGAGGCATCTACTGCGGAGGAGACTCGAGGAAGCCAGAGATGAGAGTGAGACGAGGGCTTTGGAGCTCCAAGCTGACGTGGAGAGCCTCAGGAGCCAGTTGGAGGAGCAAAATGAAAGGGCGAGAAGAGCGGAACGCGATCAAGCCACCCTAGTTGCGGAGTTGACGGCGCAAAACACGAGGCTGGCCGATCAGATGAGGGAAGCTGCCAAACAAGAGGAGCAGTTGCTCGCGGAAGTGAAGAGGCTGAGAGAAAATTGCGCTCTCAGGAACACTACCCTGCAGGATCATGTCAGCAGCCTAGAAGTCCTCAGGGACGAGGTAAACATGAATTTTTAATCTTGATAATATTATCATACATCATCCAAGTACGTAATTAAATTTTTTTTGCATATAAAAACTTGACTTTTTTCTATTCATTAACGAATTTCTTGCCGTGGTTTCCCTTTCGCTTAATTGTTCTAATTGCGCGCGGAACGGAAACTGTCATTATTAATCATTATCCATCGGAAGCGGAATGGTTCTCAGGTGGGGCTTGCTGAATAATTCGCAGCATCCTTTTTATGAAAAGGAAGCGGTAATCGTTGTGCTCGTGTTCGCACGTGAATTTTATGCGTACAATCTCTGGGAAAATGCTATCATCGAATAAAAATGAACGTGACCCCCGTCGGTCGATTTGCCTCGTTCCGTCGCCCTTTCATCTCGCCTTATAATAGCAACCGGATGCTGATTCTCAGGAATCGTTCGTGACGCGTATACAAAGTTTACTGAACTAGACATGTATAAAAATAAATATGAGTTGCATCTCGCGAACTGTGACTGTTACTATATATTTTAACATTGTATTTTATATGCACTCGCATGTTTCATACTTCTATATGGAAAAAACGGTTTTATTAAAGTATTTGAAAATTAGTTTAAAATTAGTTAAAAAGTAAGTTAGTTGTGGATCTAAAAATAATTTGATTGGACTATAAAAATAACTATGTAGGACGCAAGCTGATTGCTAAACTATCAAAACTTTTTGCAGCATTGCTTATCATATGCTTGAGTATCTTATCATTATTTTGATAAACCAATAAAATTATTTTTAGATCTGTATATAGCTAAATGTTTACATAGTTCAGCAAAACTGTGTAAGCAGAAGTGAAAAGTAAAATTGAAACTTAAGTCAAGTTTAAACAAAGAAACAACGGGCGACATGAGAAAGCGTTGTTAGAATATCACTCATGCTGTAATTTTTGCATTCATACGTCGTTGCAGGTACAACTGGTATCCGCACAAAGGACGGAATTAGAGAGGCGGTCCTTGGAGCTGCGAGAGGAGAGGGCCAGGGCGATCGCAGCCCTCGAGGAAGCCGAGGAGAGAGCTACGGCCATGGAACGACTCGGCCACGAAGCGGAACACCGCGCGAGAGTGGCGGAGCAAGAGAGGTGAGGCCACAATCCGTGATCTAAACACGTGGCTATTACGGTTCAATTAACACGCGGAGACAACGCTCAATTGTGCACGATCCATTCGCATTTAGATCTTTCCGAATTCCACAACGTTCTCGAAATCCATCTCCAGATGACGGTCGCATCTTCACTGAGTAAACGCGGGATGTCAAGCGAACAATATTATTCATTTTATTCATTGTATTATTTTTTGTTAAAATATCTATTTTGTACTTAATTTACATTTAAGATGTTAAATTATTCCTGTCGAACACCGAAAGATATCTTGGTTAATTTCTTTTTTTTTGTATACTACAAAATGTTGGACTGTACTTATGTAGGATGGCGGATAGAGATTTGAAAAAGAAAAGGTAGAATGTCTCTTTTCAAAAGAGATTTATACTTAAGTATTTCAATGTGCAAGAATATGTTTGCAAATCCGAAATAATGTTTGCGAGAGCTAACGCTCAATCTCTCTGCGTTGTGGTTCTTTTCGAATTCCAATATTAGACGAGAATTTATATATTTCGCTTTATTAAACTTTACGTGGTCCAATCATACAACAACACAGTCAGCCGTTATTGTGAAATACGCGATCAGCTGACGTCAAATAAACAAATGTCATCGAGTCCTTCTCGAAAGTATAGTAAATATATAAAACACTCTGAAGTCTAACCGAACACACACACACACACACACACATAGAGAGAGAGAGAGAGAGAGAGAGAGAGAGAGAGAGAGAGAGAGAGAGAATATTAAATCTTCCGTCTCCTACATTTATTATCTTTAGAGACGAATTGGCGTCAGCATTGGCAGCTATCGAGGCAGAAAGGAGAGCCCGGTCCGGTTCGATACAGAAAACACCGAGGTCTTTGCAAGCAGAAATGGAGTGCGAGGAGAGTGGCAACTCGCTCGGAGAACAGGAAGACGGAAATCTGAGAACGGAAGTTGCAAGGGCGACGAAGCGGCTGAGGGAACTGTGTGCTCATCTGAGACGCGGCGAGGACGACTCGGGTCTGCAGAGCGACTGCGACGAATCCATGCTGGTAATCAATCTCAACAACTCCGAGGCAGAGGTAGGCACTAACGACCGGGATACTCACTCTTCACCGGTAAGCAACTCTTTTCATCATTTTTTAAATTATAAGTATACAGGATGACAAAAAGTGGCCACAAAGCTTTATGTGTTTATCAAATCACCCAGGTAACAATTTGACATTATTTGTCATCATTTTGGTGTCAGAATAACATTAAAGAGATCGTTTTAAACTAATAAATAAACTTATCAAAATAAAAAATAAACTTGCTACTTAGATAATAACGTATATTAAAAAAGAGCAAACTATGAAATATTAGTTATATCTTATTAAATATAAAAAGACTGCATCAAAAAAATTTCATTGATTGGTGAATTAAAGATCACTCTATTGACTACCTGATAGAATTCATGAAAAAAATTAGCGGCCATCGTTGATGTGCCCCGAAGTGCCTTAAAAATTTGTATTAAAGCTGAAGGTTATTTGAACGTTCATTATTATTTTATGTAGTATTTATAATAAAATCAACACTCTCAAAGTTTGTATTTTTATATATAAATATACACTAATGATTTAATAAATACAAAACGTTGTGGAACATTTTTGTTGAACTGTATATTATGATTACGTATAGTATACTATCTATCATTCTGTCAATCGGTTTTTTCATAGACAAATTGTCCGGGTGCGCTGATAGAGCTGGTCGAAGAAGTCTATAATCTTGCGCTATCAGGTAGAGGAGCACCAGGAGAATTAGGATTGGCGGTGGAACTTCATAGGGTACGGGAAGAACTGGAGAACTCTCGGGAGCAGTGCAGGATACAGGAAGAGGAACTGAAGCGACGCGGCGATACTATTCTGGAGCTGACGAGCAAGTTGAGTGTCTGCGAGGCTGAACTACGCGGTGCCAAGGAGGAACGTGATAGGGCGAGGTGCGACATCGAGCATTCCGAGCTGACAAAGGACGAGATCGTGGCGAAGGCTTACAAGGTGCGAGACCAGGCAGTGGCCCGACAGAATAGGGTGGAGGTGGAGCTGGCTAGGACGCGGATAGACATTTTACAGGCGGACAGTCAGCTGAAGGAGGCGATCAAGCAGAAGATTGAGCTCAGTCAGCAGCTGGAGCAATGGCAAATGGACATGCAGGCGCTTCTGGATGAGCACGTGCGAAGCAAACTAACTCCGACCTCGCAGATCGTCGCCACGAGTGAGAACTCAGATATGTCGGCGCCGGCCAGGAAGAAGAGGAGTACCGGTTCGACGAAAAAGATGTTCGGCCTGTTTTGACGAAAGTGACGCAGCGCGATGGCCTCGCTGCGTTAAGCCGAGCGATCGCGACTGACATAGATTTTGACTCCTGATTCCCGCGCAGCCATTTCGCATAAAAGAAACGTTAACGGAACGAAGAGATAATTGCGAAAAGAAAGTGAATTTAGGTGTACTTATCTTTCTAAAAACTGTTCAATCTCGTGACGAATAGGGTAGCATTTTAGACATCTTCTACTTTGCTACAGTCATTATAAATAATGCCATTTGCATCGCACGATTGCGATTTATGAACAAGCATCTGGGACTAATCTCAAACTAGCGGCTCTGTGTAATTAAAATTAGCAGCTCGAACCAGACCGGACACGTCTAGAAATCCTTAAGAGATTGGATATCATGCGTTTGATCCGTCATTTTTCTGCTTAAGATAAAATGAGATAGAATATGCATAAAATAAGATATCTATGCATCTCTTTTTATCTTATGCATTTCATCAAGTTTTCTAAATGGTATCCAATCTCTTACTTGAGGATTGCTCAAGTAATAGATCTCTCTTATTTGAAGATCTCAAGACACGTCTGGATTCGTGCGAATCTCGGGATAAATGTTGAAGCATCTCAGTGCGACATGACTCGTGCGAGAAACGTTCACGTTGTTCACAGCGAGGAGTCTATTACATCGATGCTGATGCTCGTGTCGAAACCGTAATTCGAATTTAAGTGGCGTCGCTTGCAGAAACAGGGACGTTCGACTTTCTACAATTCCTCAACTAGGGAAAGTTGCGGACCCCCAAACGTTCTCGACGTGTCCAATATTGTCGTCATCATATTTTTCACCTTCGTCTCGATACCCGCGTTTTCTGTCGGCCACTTTTTTTATCAAGTAATCGATGTAATCCGGACTGCTCATTATCGCTTGACTTCGTAGACCATTCATGCGAAAAGTATTAAATTGTGTTGCGACGCTAACGGAGTCAGTAAGATGGACAAGTCGTTATCGAAAAAAAAATCATTATTAACACGTTCCGTGCCGAACTATCCCCGCGCACAGAACAGCTACGCATATAGTAGCCATCACATATTATCCGTAAAACGCTCGGAATGGAAAGTTTAATAAGTGTATCATCAGTGGTTCACTTGGCATGGAACGCGTTAATGTTCTCTCCCCGAGAAATTAAAGTTCCGAGTGATATCTTTTCTCCTAGATAGATTTCCGACACATCCAATCGACGTTTTTAGCTCAGGGAAACTTTTTGCATTATTTTAATTTCGTTCTTTCATTACGTTTTATTGTCCGCTTTCGAAGACTCCAGAAGAACAATTATATTTCATTGGTTGCAACCAATGAAATAATAAGATTAATTGATCACGGTCTCTTGCTTCACGCGGGGGAGGTATTAATCGACTCAAAGGTGACGAAAGAAGCAAAGGTTTAATGTCCCGGCAAGACTGATTAGAATCGACAAAGCGCAGCCGCTTTTTCTTCCGCGCGCGAAAACGCGTCCTGTCATTCTCATCATCGTGGAACGAATCGTTCTCCACGGTACGAACGATCTCCGAGTGGAAACTTCTTATTTCGAAACGGTCCCTTGCGTTTAGCTTAACGAATAATGAAACGGAATCACTTCGGTATTTATCATTCCGTTTTTTTTTTCGCGACGCAGGGATATCGAATTCCTTTTGATACGAAACATTGTGATATGCTGTGTCTTATGTTAGACTCGAAGAAGATTGTTATATGCCTTTTAAAGTTACGGAAACATTTCTGTAAAAAATCAAAGATTATATTAGAACGAAAAATTAAAAAAAATTTTTTTTTAAATTTTGTTAATGGTTAAATCGCGAAAATAATAGTAATTGGTAAGAAAATTGTGTATTTATTATGTATAAATATGTATTTAAAGATAATCACGGGCTTGGATGACTTTCATTACACAGAAAGAACGTTTTGTGTTAAAAAATTTAGCTAAATAGATCTGAAAATATAATTTTGTTAGACCATTAAAATAATTATATAGAACGCTCAAGCTGGCTGCTAGAATACCAAAATTTTTTACAGCATTCGTCATCATGCTCGAGTTTCCTACATAATTATTTTGATGGACCAACGAAATTATTTTCAGATTTAGCTAAATTTTTATATACTTCAACAAAATTACTCTTTCCATGTATTGAATTTTCCGACCGGGAATTATTACTGTCCGTCCATCGTTCCGTCCGACAGGACCAATTGTTCGTGATACAACGAGAAAAGGAAGGATGAGTAAGCGCTTGGAGATGAAAGTCGATCGATCCAGTCGCGATCATTGATACCTTAACGTGACGATAGTGCAATATCACTGGAATATTTTTACGATATTAACCCTTACCGTACTAATATGGGTAACTAGTGACCGAGCGATTCCTGTTCGTACAAGTTTCTTTGAGTCTTTCGGTAATTACAAATTATACTACATTTTATTATTTTCCAAAATAAAGAGTCAATATTTATTCTAGAAAGTTGAAAGTATGTTGGTGAATTTTTAGACATTTTTTGAATTATTTTGAAGAGGTGAAAAAAACGAAGACATTCTAGTGACCCTTGATGGCATGGATGAGGCACCAAATTGTAGATGGTACGGTAAGGGTTAATCGAATTGATGATTGCAACGACTGTTCCTTAAGAATTCTGCGGCACAGCAGACAATCGGTTTTGAGGAGCAACGACTGCGATGCGTTTGACAGTACGTGTGATTTTTCACGTGTAGACATTGCACGAACACGTGTGCGTCACACATAGCAAATCGTTTGTATATTAATTTCCTTCCTTTTTTTTTCTTCGGGCGAGCGTACCGCCGAAACTGTATAATAACTGTATAATTCTCGATCTGATTAACTACGATGACGATATTTATTTAATAAAAGTCTGTTTTACGAATACCTTACGTTTCTGTCAACTTCTTTGTCCACGGTTGCCTAATATTACCCAATTCCTATTTCTATCAATGTAGATTAACTTTTATCTCCGTTTATTTTATTCTTAATTCTTTAATTAATTTACTTTTTAGTCTATTAATAAACTTGTTAATTTACACTCTTCATCTTTTTCTAAATCTTAACTAGGAAAAAAAATAGAAACTAACAAAAGTTAAATCAAGATTAAAATTATAGTATAGAAACAGGCATAATTTAATTTGCTTGTCTGGCGACTCGGCTTATCTTTTTTCTGGCTGTTCTCCAGCGAACTGGAAATAACGAGACACGTGAAAAGAAACAAATAGGCATTTATTCACAAGAGGCAGGTGTAGTTACAGTAGTTTCATTTCTGTCTTGCTTTTCGTATATATGTGTACATATACATTCGTGTATATGTATATATACACATATATATTTATATATTTATAATAGTATCTTGTAAACCGACCCGTAATCACCGATCGGCTCAACTACGCAATACAAATGGGCATGAACAATGGGGGCGGGTGCATACAAAGTGTTTGTCCTCTCGCACACGAAACGCGCCGTTTCTATTCCGTTTCGTCTTCTCCTTTTTTATGTTCTTTTTTGAAATTTTACTTTAAGCGCAGCGAGATTCCACTTTATAAAATACTGTGTGTACGTATGTGTGAATGTGTATCGTCAGATAGAATCTCGCTGCTCGTTTCACTTGCACGCTGGCGATTCGCCGTGTCCCGATCTTGACGAATCGCTCTAAATCGCGGACGTACTCGGAACTCAGATGTCCTCGTTCCGCTTCTTCCTAATTATGTGCTTCTCGCGGCACTTTAGGTGAGTATCGTTCAGGGGAGAGTGGTTCCGGTCGGCCCAAAAGGGTAAGTCAGCTTGTGAAATTGCGTAATCGCATATGAAAATGCAATACGTTGCTAAGTAGGAACCGATCGTCGATATGATACATAATAAAGGAAAGGACCTCTATCTCCAATTAATCGGCGATTCCTCTCTCTCTCGTACGATTCTCACCTCTTCCGCAAAGGTATCGGTGTGTGGTAACAATATATAATATATAGTATGACAATATACGACGATGGCGGTTCTTTAAATTTGTCCCCTATAGTAACGCGACGATGACGTGTGATCATGACAACAATGTAATAACAATGAGGCTTTTAGCGGCGATAGCGTGAATAATCATAGAGTAAATCCGTAATTAATTCGTAATAATGAGGCGAGTCATCGCGCGACGCGAGTCTCGTCGAATGTAAAGCGCTCCTCTCGTTTCGAAACGAATTAATCAATAGAGCAATTAGTATAAAGGTATAGAGAGAGGTATGTACTCTTCTCAAGGTAGAGAAAGAGAGACAGAGACAGAGAGAGAAAGAGAAAGAGACACTATAATTATCGATGAAGCAATCGTGTTTCTTTTGTGCAGAACAACTCTTCTATCAGTAGATTCGCATTTCTTCTTCGTTAAGGGTATTACATGTCACGGTAAATACAGTAAGGTTCGCTATGCTATGTCAATTATAAGTGGCTCTTGTCGTGTTTCACCAACTGAAACCCACCCCCTTTCCCCTCCGCCCCTCCACCCTCCCAAGCTCCAGTCCACCCCATCATTCGAGATTATTTCCCCCGTGACGACGTGTCAACACCTATATAAAGAGACAGTTAAGCTATGCGCAATTTGTGTGAGAGTGTGTTAAGTTTTTCTCTCTTCCATACGTACGCGTCTATACACACACGTGTGGCTGTATCTACTTGGGATTATACGTGCACGTGCGCGTGTGTGTGTGTGTGATGTGTATGTGTGTGTACGTGAATGCGAGTGATTGTGCATCGCCACGTGTGCGGTGCGATGACGTTTTCGTGAACGTATCTGTCCGTTAAATCCCACAGCTTCGGCCTTACTCTCTATACTTGTATATCATATTTACAGCCACACCATTTGTTAATTTCTCTTGCGCGCTTCTCGAGGCTGTTCTCCCTCTGAGGAAAAAAGAAAAAAAAAAGCAAGGGTGAGTCGAAGGAAACGCGGGCGGACATTCGCGAAGAATCTCGCTTCTGCGAATCTTCGAAGTCGAATTGATATATATCGGCATTTGCGATTTTCAGGAGCGACTCGACTTCGCGAAATGAGCTTCACCGCCATGAACTCCTTCAATCCCACGTTTCGCAAACTCGCGACGCCACCGGCTATTTCTCTCTCGAGTTCCCTGTACAAGGTACATGATGTTATGCGACATTTAAATACGTTAGTTCGCAATACGAAATGAAAGAAGAAAAGATCTCGCGACGATGATGACTGATAAAGAGAGAAATATCGCGATGAACTATTTACATAATAATAATAATAATAATAATAATAATAATCATCGCCCTCCCCGATCAGCATATACTCATACAAACTCATTCTTTCACGCACACTCTCCCGCAACGCTCTATTATATCTCGCCTCTCTTCTTTTCGCTTTTCTCGGTGTATGTTTTTTTTTCTCTTACTTATAACGCTACATAGAAATATCTTCGTTCTGGGTCCCGCACAACTTTGTATCTCTCGCAACGACGATGGCTCATACGACGTGACCGTCCTCGCAGGACGACGAGGACTGCGTTCTCTGAATGGGAAAGGCTGTCTCTCGAGGAAAATAGGAGGATGCGATTTCAGTGGCTCACAATCCCATATCTCGCTCACTTTTCTCTCCGGATACATGTAATCATCGATAAATGCCACTTGGGTTTATTGGGAACATGGGATTTGATGAACAATTTATTATTTTATTAATCCTTAAAATATCAAGTTACTTTTTTTATGATTATCGTACAAAATTAAAAGGTTAAAACCAATGAAGGGTTAATTACAAATTAGGCGTGTATTGTATTAGTGCACGTGTTTCGTAACCAGAAAAACAGCGGTGAGTCTTCTTTACGCATCAATCGTCATCAGTATGCACGCGTGCGAATGTATATATGTATCGTGGATTCGAGATGCGATGCGATCAGATTTATACAAGTGTTACCACCGAAACGTGCCCGAAGTTACGTTCCCAGCTAAATTCTACGAGATAGCGGCGATCGCTAGTGCGAAGTGCAGTCCATGGGCTTGTATATGTTCCTACCGTATATGAGACGTGTGTGTCTAAATGCTGTGGGAATAAGTCTTCGTACGTGTTTTCATGTGTTAATGACTTCTTTGGTACGAACATACTTCCGAGCGTGCGTCTCTATTCACTGGGGTAGCGATCGGAGAAATTGCGATGGCCTGATATGCATACGATTTTTTTTTTAACTGCAATTCGTCGTGCTACGATGCGCCTAGCGGTAACAATTATTTAGCGTTTGCGTTTACGAGGATAACAATTATCACCGACGATAATAATTATTAATACCGTCGTTATTCTTGGTTTAACAATTATCACCGCACTTCTTCTAGGTGTTGTGTAAACGTTATTGCGCGCACAACGACCGACTACGATCGCGCGTGATTTCGATACGATTGCACACCACTGATTTTTCGCCTAAGTGCTATTCCTCCCCCCTTGTCCTCCCCCCACCCCTGGTTGAAATCTAAAGGACGGTCGCGGTATAAGTATTTGTCGTATCGGCTTCGTGATCTCCGAGGTGCTGCAAAGCTCTCCCGTAAAGCTCCTATTTAATTCGCCATAAAAAATAAACTCCCTATTGGCCGTCGTGTAAACGTGCGCGCATGTGTTTGCGGATTGTTCCCGGACCTATCGCGCTCGATTGGCGCACCATCGTCGAAATAAGAAAACGCGATGACGTCCGTGGAATACCCGGTCGCGGTGCTGGCCTGTGTATATATGTGTGTGTGTGTGTATGTGTGCGTGTGCAAACGAAAATACGTTCTCCGCACTCGCGTATACATGTACTCTGGTCGTCGTCCTCGCTTCTCTAATCTGTATACCCGAGATTTCACACGCACGTGTATAATATGTGTGTATGTTGTGTTATATATTATATTTATATATATGCAAGCTCTCTATGGCTCCCCTCGAATCACCTCGAATGCCTTCGCGGATATACACTTACTACTACGCTAATTGCAGAGCTCATTCACTCTCCGACACGCACACAACCTGATTCGCTCGCGAGATCCCACTGGCGGGCTCCTTCTCCATCTTTCCCGCTCGAGCAAGCGAATTGATTAAAACTTAGCGCGATAATCACCATCTTGTATATACAAACAATTTTGCTCTCCAAACTCTTCTGATTCTTTCGTTTTTTTCTCCCCATCCCCGCCTCCCTACCTTCCCCGAGCTTTTTCTTCCCATTAATTTCTTGCAAATGTTGCTCACAAGCTGGTACGCTGCCTCCTAAGGATTTCCGCGACAGGATCGACGTCATCCTTGTCTCTCGATGGAACGCGGCAAATTCGCGACAATCTCCCTCCTTCATCGGATTCATTGCATTAACATACATAACATCATATCGACATAAGTAAGCGTAGTCCACTATAGCTGTGGTATTGGTATAGCACTCTGCGCAATTCTTCGCGAAATTCAGTCGTTTACGTTGTAAAGAGAATATCCATTCGCCCTACGGCTGCCTCCCGGCACATCAGGCTCGATCCCGACGTTTCTCTAGGGATTGCTTTCCCAACGGGTGAACTGGATACGCCTGGTGTCCAGGGAGGGCGACAGCAGCGACTTGAGGGACGCGCTCGGCGGCGAGAGTTAACTTTTTTTTAAACTTAAGTTAATTCAATCTTAACTTTTATCAAGTTAATTTTTTATTTCTTCAGTTGTTAACTTAATTTGATTAATTTTATAGCATAGTAACATGAAATTTAGCACATCACGCGGCATTTTAATCCAGTTCACTTTAAATTAATCTGATACTTAACTATATATATATATATGGTACATATATATATTTATATATTATATATTTCTGTATTTTAATTTAAATTTCTAGACTTAATGTGAAGATTATTAATTAACTTATGATAAAACTTCTTAATGTTGGGGGGGAAGATATCTTGATAAAAGTAGTTTACCTGCAGCGAGAGAGCCTCGTCTCAGGACTCGCCCTGCTTGTTCCTACGGCCAGTTAAAGATCCAACTAAAGACTTCAGAGTTGCGCCTAAGCCTCTGCCGCTTGGAGTATTAAGACTGCTGGCATTTCTGAAGCCCTGTGGATGTGCGTCCAAACATTTCTGGTACCTCAACTTAAACAGAAACAGAAACATCTTCTTTATCTAACATTTCCGTTTAGCTAAGAGAATTTAGTCCTTGAGAGAGAATCCTTACCTTGCAAGCGGCTTCAATTGTCTTACAGAGAGCTCCGCTGCTGGGTTCACAATTGAAGACGTGTGCGATGAACAAGTCCTGTGCGGTGTGCATAATGAAAGCACATTGCTTTACGTTGCGGCCTATACCGAGGAATGACAGGTAGCGTACTCGACATTCAGTGATGAGCTTGTCGTCCTGAAAAAAATTACAATATTATGAATAGTTGATTGTACTTTTATTAATTTTTTTTGACGTCGACGTTTCTTTACTTACGTTGGGCGTAAGAATGGAAATCATGCTAGGAGCTACGGCGACGTTGACGTTTCGCCATTGATTGATCGGCGTGTTCGTCACGATATGTTCTATCGCCTCGTTCAGCACTTCCATGCCAGTTGCTTGATTGACTTGCATGGATCCGAGATACTGCGCTCGCAACACCTTCTTCGGTTCTTCCATCGGTGTTGGAAAAGATTGTGCTGCGCAAAGATATAACATGAGAGTTATTTAACTTCTTAAGTTTATCTCACTGTCTGTCTCACTCTCTTTCAAGTAATTATTTATTAAAAGTCTGATTTCTAATTCCTTAAATCAATTTTCGTTAACTTATTAACTAAAAGATTTTTTTTATAACTATATATAACTCTCGTAATTAATATAACCCTGCTAGTGTATTCGAGTCTATTTGATCTAAGATGTACTTTATTTTTACATATATTTTATTAGTAAAATTTATTATTTAAAAATTTTTCTTTGATATTTGATGATTTTGACAGTTAATATAAGATATATTTTTCTATAAAAAATTTTTTTATTTTTTAAAGTTTTAAATCATACTGATCTAAATAACATCGTATAGTAACAGATCAGCAGGATTAATAAAATATTTAATTTTTCCAAATATATACTAAAATAAAAGAAATTAATTTGGTTACTTACTGACTAGTGCCTGACCGTTTCTGTGGAAACGCCGATGTTCAGTGGGCAGATTTGTAGGTCTCGTTGCGAGACTTGTCCGGCCGTTGATGTCCACCGGTTTCGCGAGATTCTGATGTTGGGAACGCTCGATCATTATCTTCTTGCAAATGTCACGAAGCGTGTTTGCAATCGTGCGCGCCGGTATGTCGCAACGAAACACATGACACATGTGTTTCCTGGTCGATCGGTCTCTTGCTACATAAGCAAAGTCCCTGAAAGCAATACGCATTTTATAATCGAATGTTTATCAGATTGAGAATTTTTCTTTTAATTTTACTTTGTACTGCATTTTATGCGATAATTTATATCGTTGTATATATATATATATATTATATCTTACCTTTCGCTATTAGATCCGTCCAAAAAAGAGCAGACATTTATGAAAACAATGTAAATAATAATTAATAGTAGAGTAAATAAATTTAATATTTATTGTATAAAATTCTATATTTTAAAAGTTGTACATTTCGACAAAAAATTCGGTGCTTTAATTTATTTAAACATAATTAATAATTTACTCACCGACAATGGTCTCTTCCTACGCCCCACACTCTAACTGTATGAATAGGCTGAGTGTTAAGTACAGTGAGATTCTCCGGATCGATCAGTTTGAGCGCGCCCTCGTCCAAGTCCATAAATAGATCCTTGCCCTGAAATATTTCGTAACATATCTCTCATCTATGTGCTTATAGTACCGTAGTAAAATCGAAATCAGTATATCGCTAACTACTTAAGAAATAAAAAGTTCTAAATATGATTTTTTATAAATCATATCGCTTATTTTGAACCTGACCGTTTGTTCAGTACACTGAGATATTATATTTCCACATTCCGTACATTTATAAATTCATGATTAATAATTGAAATATAAGAGATAAGAATTTAACTTATAAACTACTTAGTTTGTGAAGGAACTTACATCACCCCATCGTCCGACGACATCCAAAAGATCGTTTCTACCGAGTGAGAGATCCACGATGCACTTATTGACAGCCTTGCTGCTTCTCTCGGGTGTCAGATCTTCTTCCGCGATCTCCGTCCAACCCAAGGATCGCACGGCAAATCTGATTGGCTTGTCCCTACCCTCGGAGTCCGCTCTGGCAGGATAGCTTCTTCGTCTGAGAAAATAAAGAAAGAAATAAAGATGAATCAACGGCAACCACAAAAAAATTGTAAATCAATCGAGATTTGCTTACTTGAGCGCTAATTCCACCTTTCTCTTGTTTTCTAATTCCTGATCCAGAGCCGAGCTTGTGTTGCTGCGAGTCACTGTGTTCACCATACCGCTTAAAGTGTGAAAATTGTTTATCTGCAATGAAAATTTGTGAACAAAAATTATGATACTGAATGGAAAGCTTTGAACTAATGTTATATAATCTTAATTAATAGTGCGTAATAATTTATTTAAATGATAATTTACCTTGTCTTATAATAATAAATTATAATATGTTTTGACAAATTATTTACTTACGCTATCATTATCCTTAACGAGGCTTCGGCGTGCCTCCGTTTTCAAATGTAGAGGAGCCTCTGGCGGTTCTCTCTGTATATTTCCGCTTTTCACATGCCAATAATAAGGTCCATTCTCATCTAAAATAGCATTGGATCCGATCATCAATAAAATTCGAAAGCCAAAATTTATGATAGTCGTGATAACTTTAATTATCGATTATTAATTTTGTCAATATATTTTCATAAATAAAAAAAAGATAAGAAAAATTGAGAAAATAAAAACCTGATATTGTATACCTCTGCTTAAATAATATTTTTAACTTAATTCTTTTTATATTGTGTTATCTCTTTACTTTAGCAATTTCTTTTCTACCAAGTATTATCTAAATCCCTGCCACGTTTACGGAAACACGGGTTTGATACGAAAATCGTACTCATCGCTATCGTGAACCGATAATCGCACAGCATTTAGCGTTAAATACGAGCTTTTTCCAGCATCGATATCTCGATTGTCCGGAACTTTCCGAGAAAATGCTCAACTTTCGAAAACAATTTTTTAGAATCTAGAAAAGTTTTATCTCTACATTAACATTTCCCTCCACTTCTACCTTGTTTTTATCTCAATATAATTAATAGATTTGACACAATTTCTCAAGATGATAAATTCCTAATGCGTTACAAAAATTATTGCAGTTAAAGCCATAGGATAAAAAACGCAAGACAGTAAAACGTAAGCAGTAAACGAATCGACTAATCACAGCAGAGAATGTAAGGCAGTAATATTATATGAGAGCTCAGTAACAAATCCAAAATGTTGATTTGCTTACTGCTATTGTTTAAATTTTGTGTGTGTCATAGTACAAGAAATGATTGAAGCAATTGTCTCGATTACTTGAAACAAGTTCTTTTTTTTACTATTTGACGCAACTCTACTCCAATATCTACCTTCGTGTTTCTGCCAGCCCGGCGGCAGATTCTCGTCCTTATCCTCGGAATCGGTGCTGTCCATGTCCGCCGGTTTCTCCTGGGTATTGTTCTGCAGAATCGCATTGTTCTTCTGGTCCTTTGGCTGTCGTCGTTTCACTGGTACTGCGTATAGCTCGCTGTTCAGGCCACCCTCCACATGCGGCACGCCGCCCATCTCTGCGGTCTCGTTGTCGGGTTTCTCGCAATAACTGTAGTGCAAAGCCAAGAAAAACCAGGGTCAAGGAACGTTTCAGTTCACCTCGCAGTTCGGTTAAGTTGCACTATCGTCGCAATGTCCATTGAATAGTCAAGTAATACAAGTCTTGGTCCAAAAGACGTCTTATGCCCAATTTTATCACTTCCAGATAAGTTGCGGATAACCTTATCCAGGAGATATCTCCATTGTATTCTGGGAGATATCTCTTGGATAAAGTTATCTAGAGGTGAAGAAATTGGGCATTAGCCTAAAAGTCTCGAGAATTTAGACGTCTTTAAAATCTTACACAAAATGAAAAAACGCAAGTACTAGGAACAGGAAATAACAGTTTTCAACTTATCAGAAACCATGTCCTGTGCACTACACATTTTTTGATAAGTTGAAATAATAGGCCTATCATGACTATTTCTCTGAAGAATGGACTGTGATTAATCAGTTTCATACAGATGTTATTAAATTCGATTAAGGGTGCTATATAATAGTCTGTTATTCCTTGTTTCTATTGCTTGTGCTTTTTTATTGTATCTAAGACTTTAGAGAGTCTTTGCGTCGTCTGATTTTTTAAACAAGCATACTCATAATTTTTCTTATTATACAATCACAAGCAATAAGAAATACTAGCACAAGAGATACATTTTCCCTAGAGCCATGAATGTACATTTGTAAAAATATTTTAACTTCTTGCGTTCTTTTACGTGCATTTGCGATACAGAAAAGAAAAATAAAAAGTCAAGGCTAGCTAGAGCATCAATAAAAATTGATACAACTAGTTGTAAGAACCGCAACGGAAACAAAGAGTTACAGATCTTATTCGTTCAACAAGGAAACTAGCGATATAACATACTCGTACAGTGCAAGTTACAAATTCAATCATAGCGATATGCAGATTCGAAGAAACGTCTAGTCATTTTTATCGGCCTGCTTTGAATCCAAAAATTTCATTTAACGACGATTACTATTCCTGGCTCGACTGCGTTTGATTTGTTTAAATTCGTCTCGCAGCGTCATAAGGCGGTCACGCGATATCCATTGAAGTTCTCTCTGGTCTTTCTCTCTCTTCCCCTCGTCATCGTATATCGCGGAACTTCGTGAAGCGAGATTGTGGTCGCGTTCGCGTGACTTCGAGGAATTCCAGTTCACGACATTTCGTGGCGAATCACGATCGCCGAAATAAGCGGTTTGCTTTATTGCGTCGTTGTCCGGCCGTGTATACGTCTCGCGGAATCGTTCGGTCATTTTGTTAAGCATTCGCGAGAACGCGTCATCGACCACGGTACGGTAGAATGACAAATTGATTTCCGCTTGTTAAGTCGTCTGATCGGCTGTGCCGTCTCACTCGTAAACCGCGCTATCGATTCACCGCAAAAGAGTCCCCGTTATCGCTCCGCCACGAAAAATCCTCGCGTGCTAATCGAAGCTGGCTGCGACACGAGTCGGCCGCGGCAGGAGATTATTTACGGAGGCTTTAAAGTAAAACGTTCTTTGCGAGAGAGGACGAAGAGAAATTACGCTTTCGTAGCTGGAAACGATGTAAAATTATGTACCGTGCGCTCGTGAGGAACCGAGGACTCTATACAAAGTTGAAATAACTAAGGATAAATCGTCGGTGAAGAGATTGTAACAGGTGTCCGTCAAGCTCATTCTCTAAGAGGGAAAAAGATTTCAAGAGTATTCTCACTTGATATATTCTACAAACAGACGCAAAATAATTTTTAAGTTAAAAAAAATATGAAAAAAATTTGAAATTTGAATTTAAAATCAAGCCAAGTTAAACGTCTCAAAGGCCGGACGTCTGTATAAAATTTATTATTATTAATTTTCCAAATATTTTTCTATTGCAATATTATAATTTAATTGTATATTTAAGGATAACAATTAAATTATAATATTGTATTTTAGAAAGCATTTGAGATTAATAATATTTAATATAAACAAATATATAAAATTTCGTATAAATGTCCAGAAAGGACGTAGTACGTAACATGTCCGGTCACTAGAACGTTTACCTTAGATGAAGCAAATAATAAACTCGCATTGCGAACATATTGCTGTCATTGGAACTTACTGAAGCAAGTTGTTCATTCATGCTCGTTCACGCTTGTTATTTGGTTTGTCTATATTACTTCATACAATAATGTGGTTGCAGGACAATCCAATGGTACATAATCATTCAGAACTGTTCAACATAGTTCATTTATCACGCATTGCAGCAACGCAACGTCAGTGGAGAAATGTGATTGTGACAACAATTTCACGCGAAGGCCAGTGCAATTCAAAGCAAGCCTGGCACAAGCCAACACTCGCGTTTTTCTGTTGCATTTGATCCAGCTATTCATTTACTTTCATCGTGAACAGAGTATATATTTTTTAAAACAAAGTACGAAGAAAAAAAGCAAAATTTCTAGCCTTTAAAAAGTCTAATTTACTTTGTAATATGAAAGCTTGAAAGTTCAATGTATATCAACGGGGCATAGAATTTTATTTTAAGATCAACGTACAGAAGCCAAGAGAGATCTGTATATGAAAGTACAAGCGGCGAAAATTGCAAGAAATTGTGCTCCGTGATATACATTCTTATGCATTTCGCCTTAAAATATACTATATGATTGCGGGACAAATCATGTGTTTCAAAAATAAATAATAATAAGTAGAAAAGGAACCGATAAATGAATAACATAAATAAGAGAAAGAACTCTATATTCGATTAAAGTGGATCTTGATGTTTAATAATCTATGTAAATTTTTGTCTATTTTAATTTAAAAAATAAATCCAACATTTCATATAAGCGGCTCTTAAATAATTAATATTATTGCATAATATTTGATATTGCACAATATTATTGCCCTGGAAGTTAAATTGAGTCTCCAGACTATTTGTTTTGAATTGGTTAAAGCGAGAACATCAATAATATTATAAAATAATAGTACAATAATATTGAGCAGTTCTAATGGCAGCTTTATAGAAAAACAAGAAGGAAAAATTTTACAGTGGAAAACATGCGATACAATATCGTGGTTTAATCAAAGCAAGCAGAGTGGTGTCTCTCGGACACCAGTGTGAATTTCCAGTGTGGTTTAACGCTCGCGATTCCATCCCTTCGTAGTACTCTGTACAGCATCCCGTAAGCGATAATGCGAATACATCGTCTACAAACAGCGGCTTTAATCTGCATAGGATTGCTTACGAGAAAACGGGGCGTTTCATTTCGACGAGTACGCCGTTCGTTACAGTGAAACAAACAGAAGCAACAACTTGGGCACACAAAAGAGAAGCGATGGGACGGGTGATGGCAAGCGGATCAAAATCTGCAAGAGAGGGATGGGGTATCACGAGACCACGAGGGTGTGTTCGTACGTACTTTCTCGACCCGGAAGTGTCCGCAGCGTCGATCGATCCCGCGGATCCCGACTGAAGGGCGTGAGACTGAGGCAGGATCGCGCTCGACGACGACGTGGACGACGAGCGGGGATTCCCATTGAGGGTGTCGTCGACGAGAGCGGACTCCGCCACACCCTCGCAGCCGTACCTGAATCAGCATTGTTCATGCAACGCATTACAAGGGGAATGAATCGTAGTAGTGAGATAATGACAATGTCTGTCGTGATTGCGCTGCTCGCTTATTAATCCTTAAACGACGCGATTCCCTTCGTGATTCACTCGAATCGCTTTTATATTATATCATTTCGTCATAAAGAGATTTGAGCGATTTAAGGAATTCGAGAGATTTAAGGTTTAAGCTGAGCTTCTAATTACTGAGAAAAATATTCTAATTAAACTAACAAAAGGGCCAAGAATGGCATTTTGGTATTCTGGTTGTCATAAGAAACTCTGTTTGGTCTCACCAAAACGTCATTCTTGCTGGTTTAACAAGAACATTTTTTTCAGCGTAAACTTTATTGTATATTTCTACAGATATTTCTTTCTATCTTCCATTTTACATATGTTTTTTCTAATTAAGTGCGATATGTTATTTTCACGATACATCGTTTTCTCAATCCTAAATAATTAATAACTTTCAATGTTCAATGTTTTATTATGTGGATATATATCTCTGCTTTTACATACATTTTGACTTGATACATTTATAAACTGTATGACACAATCTGAGTGCAATATCCATGAAGTCGATTCGAAGTGCTGTTAAAATAAAATGTTACGTATTTTATGTCCGCTTAGTCTGGGATGCACTCTTACTGCGAGCGAATGCACGCATTTTCTCGCGAATGGGAATCGTGTGAGTGCAAGGAAGGCATTTTAATTAACGATCGGGGAACAGTGCCAGGCACCGATGTGGTTAGTACAGGGTCGCTAACCATGTCGAAGTAATTAAGGGATTAGTCGAGCGGTTTGCTGACTAACGCCAGCTGCCTCTCTTGAGTATCGTTCGGGCATTAGAGGAGGTACCTAAGGGCCACGTTTCCTTTGAACGCACTCAAGGAATACGGATTCTCGACTTCGAGGCCTTTAATCGGCAGGATTATAACCAACTACGTGAGTCCGTAAGCGAAAACTTTTCCTCGGTACCGACTTGACTTATTTCGCACGAAGGACTTCGATGTTAAAAGTTTAGGGTAAGCGGAAATAAAAATGTTTGCGCAAGGAGAACGGTATCATCGTTTCCCTTTAAATTTTTAAGTTTTGATAGAATCATATAATTGTAATTTTATGTTACATTGATCGACTAGATATCATAATTTTGTCGAAAAGGTATTATTTTATACGTAATCTAAGTAGGAAATTAAATGGTAAGCAATTTCGTTAATTTTTATAAAAATTTTATGATTAATAAAATTACTAAAGTGCATTCTTGTTTTGTTGAGAGTCTATCTAAAATTTTACCCCGTGTCGCGCAGGTGCAGCTGCGTGACACTTATTGCTTCTCCCCTTTCGTTTAACCCTTCTGCCACCCTCCCGTCTAGCGTAAGGGTCGTCTCCGTATTATCGGCGATCAGTCTCAATTTCCTTTAACGAAGATTGCACGATTATTAACAAGAGTTTGGGTTTCTGCTATTATTGTATCACAACTAAATAGTCCTACCTAAGAATCAAGTGGATGCATCGATACACACTCGGTATTCGCGACTTTCTTAAAATTGCCCGATAATAATCGGAATAATTTCTTATACGTGCCGCTAATTGGTGAACCTACTTCTCATCGCTTGTAACAGGAGAAAACTACCAACTGCGTGTGTGCAACGCGTGCTTGGAAAGAAATTTTCAAACTTCTTTCCGCATGTTACAATGGCGAGAAAATATCGAGCGTGATCGAAAAAGGCTGCTTGAAGACGAGAATAAATAACTTTGAAAAGGTGCCTCTATAAAAGGAAAGAGCAAAACGTAATTGAATTTCCAAAAAAGGCGATGTGAACGATAACAACGTACGACACGCGAAGCCAAATGACAATTTTGTACAAATATGTGGGTTAGATATGAGGGGTGTCTTGGAAATTTGCCAAAAGTTTCGAGAGAGTATCTTTATATTTTATATTAGGGATGCGTGAAAGAACAATGAACTAGAGATTCTCAATTAAAAAATTGGACAATTTAGACAACTTTTAATTGGTGCTAAAGAGAAATTGGATAATATGGCGAATCAAACCATACATACGGTTGATTCGCCATATTTTTTAGGACCTACAAGATGGAATAAAACAAATGCGTAATCTATCTCCTTCTATCTTAAGTAGATCCTAAAAAATATGGCGGACCAAACATATGGACCAATCTCTTACTTGAGGATCTCTACGATCGACGAGATATCGAATGTGTCTGCGAGAATTCCATCGTCGATTAACACCCGGGGAATTCTTTTGGCGTCGTTGCATTCATCTCCAGATACATTGGTTCCGCCCAATGATCGGAACGCAACGATCTATCGAATTACAAACATTATGAGCGGCGTGACGTGCTCGGTTATTAAACGCGTTATTAATTAATTCCGGTAATGTCGTATATCCTGGTCAGGTTTGAATCGAACGGACCGACGAGCGTTTTATCGGAAATGAAATCGCGATATTGACGCATTGACGTAATTCGTTTTGGAGGAACGTTAACTCGGTTCTCGCGATAACGTTATAGTCGAGGATCGTTATTAATGCCGTTAATCCTGGGATTGGCGGTATTGCGACTGTATAGTATCTGGAATATTGGGTTATTGACACCGGGCGCATCGATCGATCAATGTATCCCGTACAGTGTTATGAGATCAATGATCGCCTCGGTGGACGACGACGCGGTCAATTTGAGCGGCTGAAACACTCTGAGATTCGTCTCGAATGGTCGTAAATCGATGGCAATGTGATAACGGAACATCTTGTAATATGAAATGGGGAGATATCTATAAATATATATAAAAAAAAGAAGAAACGTTGATGGGATTGAAACTTAATTCCCCACTGGCAACGTTGGACATTAAAGGCACAATTTATTTTTTAAATTCTCATAAATTTAGTCGTAAATTTATGAGAGTTTAATATAAAAATTTTAATATAAATTTAATATAGAGAAAATTATGAGAATTCAATATAAAAAAATAAGTAAAATATAATTTAAAACTCTTGCGATAGTATAAAAACTCGTTATTGAAACTTTCATAAGCATATATAAAGAACAGTTTTCGTTAGATTCAGATTTAAAAATAATTTTGTTATACTATCGACATAATTATGTAGGACACTAAAATTGATTGCTAGAATGCCAAAACTTTTTGCAGTATTGCTCATCATGTTGAAGTTTCCTACATAATTATTTTGATGGCTCAATAAAATTATATTCAGATCTGTATCTATCTAAAGTTTTTTTTAGATAAATTCAACAAAATTGTTCTTTCCGTGTAAGAATTTTTCAAATTTGTATACAATCTGGCACAATACAAAAATATGTACTAAAGTTTGAAGACCTAGATTGCGGATGAAGGGTAAAGTTTGAAGAACCAGATTTGCGGATGAAAGGTGATAAAAAACTTCACATTGCCAATGAAGGATTAAAAAACTTCTTTTAATTATTTGTGCTACACAAACACACGCGCATACACACGAAAATTTTGGAAATTAACAATATATCGCGCTACCTGGCAAGGAGTAAAGATAAACTGATCGCGGTACAACTTAAATCAGCTGCCACGGGACGGTAATTGTAATCCAGCCGGCGCGGCGCGTACACGCGCGCATCGCCGTAACTTTCAGTCAGATGTAATTAAACCCAATTAGGTCGTAAGGTGAGCAACTTCTGACGCACCTGGCTGGGCCGTAAATTACGTCGGACCCCCTTTTCCGCTCGTGTCTATCTTGCCGGCACTATGATTACAGTATTCGTAATTTTATGGTTTCTGCTCGAGAACGTGGATCATTATCTTCTGATTACATTACTATCGTCATAAATCGCGGCCCTTTTCAGGGAAACGTGAATTAAATTGTCAGGTAAGGCACGAGATAGAAAGGAATCATTTCCGTAATTATAAAGCACAAAAAAGCACATTATGAAATTAAAAAAAAAAATCACACAAAAAATAGCTTAAATACTGACGTCATAATAACGGCTTATCTTTCGAAGGAGTTTATATTCCTTTGGATTTGTACCGCATCGATCCTTAACGCGCCCTGCATTCTGTCAGTGTATTCACACAGTAACGATCGGTTCTCCCCTATTAATGGAATCCGACAAACGTTTCACCACGGATAAGAGAAAAAGAGAGAGTGAGAAAAGGAAAGATAAACACGTAGAGGTTGCAGAGTGTCGAGGAGGTCGGAATCGACTCTCCTGGGTGTCTGTAATTCGCTGTCGGTGTTTGTCGATCGGCAGAAACAACGGCCGATCGACTGTGACGTGGACATCAGCGAGGGGTGATTTGCGCGAAGGGAGTTAAAAGGGAAAGGGACAGAGAAGGGAAAAAAGTGAGAAAGCCCAGAGAGGAAAAAGTGGCGCACGGCCGAAACATCGTGTAGGTAGATGGACGTCCACGCGGAGTGTGGTGCAAAGTGAAAGAGAAAGAGAGAGAGAGAGAGAGAATGGGAAAGAGAGAAAGAGAGTCGGGCTGTTCCTCTCCTCGCTCGATCAATACACACTACCAGCAACCACCCAACCCACCCTTCACGTCTCTGCCCCACGGCACAACCCCTCGACCACTGTGCGGCGCTCACCCGCCAACGTCACCCCATTTCGAGCGCACAGCTACCACCGTACATACACACGCATATGTATATGCATGCAAGTACACGTTATACATCGAACAGACGATACAGATCGCTGTGGTATCGACGAAGCCGCCGTCATTTTCACCGTCTTTTTGGCTTGATTGACAGAGATCAACTTTGTCGACACGATCGACGAGCAATCGGCAAACGTGTTCCGTGGAAATCATCCCCGAGAATTGCGAATGGACAGGCCGATACCAGAACCTATATTCGAATACGTCTGTTTTATTTCTATAACGTGCGGTGTTATGGAGTTATAGGCTTGGTCTCTTATTGATAGGTTGGGTACCTAGAACACATAGAATCGCTAGGCTTTGTCGAAACTAGGGAGGGT